AACAGAGCAGCCTTTTCTTTAAGTGCAACATCTGTCTTCTCACATCTAGATCAGAGAAATATTAGCACTGCTAGTTCACTGACTTTTAAACCAGTCTGGCACTGGTTCATAACCTAGTCAGTGGGATGGTTTGGATGTGCATACGTTCAACTGAGTTTCCTTAAAGCAGTGGTTCTCAACCTATGGGTCGGGACTCCATTTGGGGTCGAACGACCATTTCACGGGGGTCGCCAAACAACGCAGTCTGCCATTTTCCCCCCCTTTTCCATAGCTGTGCTACTCCCTTTTATTCTATTGGCTTTTGAAAGCCAATAGAATAGACTCTCTTTTAATTCTATTGGCTTTCAAAAGCCAATAGGAATTGTCCAGGCTGTCTCTGCCCTGCTGAGCCCACCAAAAGTCCCATTCTGCAAACGGTGCTGCACCAGTTGAGTAGTCCTCGACTTACGACCAGTTGAGTACTCCTTGACTTACGACCGGTTGGGGGTTGCGGCATTAAAAAGGTTGAGAACCACTGCCTTAAAGAAATAAAAAATAAGCTTGGATATTATTATGTTGGGTGGTAATAACTGTAATATTCTATGTTGTGAATTCTGAAATGGACATTGTGTTATAGATTATCTAAAGACAGCATCAGAAATGGAAGACTAATGAATTATATCATCCCGCATGTTCTCATATAATGTAAGCCAACAGTTGCAATGTATGCAGAGTTGGTATTAATTCACTATAATTCAGGAAGCTCTCACATTATGATTAAGAATTTTACCTCATTTGTGGTAAATCATGTGCCAATCATGGCACAGACATGCCGTGGCAACATCTTTTATGCAGTCTTCTTACCTGTTCTGATTTTAAAGTAGTTTTTTTCCTCTTACCATCAGGCACATTTCACTGATTATTAGGTTACTCATATGGTTAGATGAACCCTAGGGAATAGATCAGCAGGTCATCTATGGGCTACTTTAGACAGGTGTGGACATGATCCTTACATTCTGCTCTCTAAGCTTGCTCTCAGGGTTCATTCTAGTTTGGGAATCCAAGAGTTTGTTTCTTTCAAACAAAGTTCTCCAACTAGCTGATCAGCAGTGGTGGTGACAAGCAAAGCTCCCCGTGTCTTGCTGGCTGTTCTTTGGATGGCTTTTGAACATGGGTTTAGTGCTCTTCAGGAATAGATCTAAGCCCATGTCCAAAATAAGCCGCCCAAACATCAATTGATGTTAGCTAACATTCAGGCTTCCCTTAACTACATCCATAAACAACACTTGTACAAAGTTTGACAGACGACTAAATTTGATGATCAACAGCTGTCTATCAAAACGTGCCTCGTCTCCAATCCATATTTAGGAAAGTGAGTGATGAGTATTTCTCTCTGGTTGCAGCTGACTTTGGGGAGAGAATAAAACTGGGAGAATCAACCAGTTCCTATCCTTAGCAAATTTCTGTGCTGTAAATAAGCAAAGCGCTACTTGCCAGCATTGTTTTGGGGCTGGATAAGGATTGCTAGTGAGAGGAGCTCATTTCTTGCTAGTAGAGTTTTCTCCTGTGTCAGAATTGATAGGTAGCACTAACTGCTATGAGAAGAATTCTAAGCAAGATAGCCTACTCAAGATCAATGCAGAGGGCACCATACTCTGTCCTATGTAACAGAACTGAGGAAGAGCTTCTTGGGATGAACAGGATTTTCTACCTTTACAGTCTGACAAAGTAACATTGTGTTGCCAGACATTGAAGAAAGGGAGTGAACAGTTTTTGCAAAGCATGAAAAGGAAGGTGTTTTTTTCCCCCTCAGATGAAAGTCTGTTGTGGTACTTTGTGCTTTGCTCTATAAATTGGATAGTTATTTTGGTGTTATGGCTCGTATGATGAGGGGAGTTGGAATGTATTCATGTGCAATTTTCAGTATCAGAACAGTACATCAAAAATGATTTCATTTATTAAAGCTGTAATCCAAAGCAATCATTTAACACTCCTAGGAGGGATGATTGAAAGATGTGTCACCAATTAGTAAAAATGTTACAGATTGCAGGCACTATCTTATTAAAACCGATGCACAGCATAGCTACTTTAGAATTTTCAATTGCAGTGGATACATTAGCTGGAAAAGAGTAATAGTTTTCTAAAGGCTAAATATTATGGGTTTGAGGTATTGTTTCTATATAATATCTACCATGACATAATAAATCACTGTGGAAGCCAGGATATTGTATTTGCTTCCTGAGTATCAAAATCAGTAATGGCAAAAACACAAAATTTATTGAAGAGCACAGAGAAACAGAGACAGATTATGAATAGACCTATAATAATAAGGAAGTGTCAGTTATGTCATTCCTTGTTCTCCTTTTTACTACACTAGACCTACTCAATTCCTGCAACTGTTCTTCATATGTTTTAACCTTCTGCCTCCCAATCATCTTTGTTGCTCTTCTCTGCACTCTTTCCAGAGTCTCAACATCTTTTTTATATTGTGGTGACCAAAATTGGATGTGGTATTCCAAGTGTGGTCTTACCAAGGCATTATAAAGTGATAGTATCACTTCTCATGATCTTTTTCTATCCCTCTATTAATGCAGCCTAGGATTGCATTGCTATTTTGGCAACTGCAACATACACTGCTGGCTCATATTTAAGTGATTGTCCTCTAGGGCTCCAAGATCCCTCTTGAACCAAGTTTCACCTACTCCAGTGATGGCAAACCTTTTACAGATCGAGTGCCCAAATTGCAACCCAAAGCCCACTTATGCATCGTCGGGTGTTGGGTGGGTGTGGCCCATTGGCTAGGCATGGCTGCGGTGGTAACGGCAGACTGGATGGGACTAAAAATTTCAATCATCAATTCCAACTTTGCAAGATCTTTTTTTTCCCACGAGAAGTTGAAATTGACTGACTGATTGAACCTTTTTTTTGTACACAGTGGTGAAGGCCTAAAGCGAAAAGGTTGTATAAAACCCAGCTGAAGGCCTAGGACTGGGGCGACGGCATGCGTGCCCACAAAGAGGGCTCTGCGTGCTGTCTCTGGTACCTGTGCCATAGGTTTGCCACCACTGAGTCCTACTATGTACCTATGCATTAGGTTTTTCTTGCCTCTAAGAGTAAAACCTTATACATTTTACAGAAAACATAAAAAATAAGCTTATGATTTATGGTTTTTATTATTAGACAGGAGAGATTATAAAAAAGAGAGATTATATAGTAATCATAGAATAATAGGGTAGTATTTATTGTATCAATTGTATTTATAATTGCTTGAAAGAAGATACTTCTTTGTATTTTTTCTTTTTTTTCTTTTTTTTTCTATTTTTGTTTTACTTTACCCCCCTTTCTTTCACTTTTAGTTTTCTATTTGATCTTTTTTCTTTTACTTTCCCTTTTCTTACTTTATATTAGTTTTTTCTTCAATATGTCAGTGTGTATAATTATACACTAAATTTTACACACATGCACACAAGTGGAAGATAAAACTAATATAAAGTAACAAAAATGAAAGAAAAAATACATATACATACGTATACACACATCTATCTATCTATCTATCTATCTATCTATCTATCTGTCTACCTATCTATATCTATCTATCTCCTCATGCAGTAGTTTGCACTCACATGGGTGGTGTCTCTTTTTTAGGACTGGATATGCAGAGATAGTGAAAGCTGCTGAACCGACTGAAAGGGTTGTGGTGTTATTTTCTCAAACCTCATTGTCAGCACAATTCTTCTGACAGCAAAGCATGTCATCTCTCCCACCCTCCAGTGCAACTTGGGGTTAGTGAAGTAGGTCCAGCAATAGCAGCCGCATCTGCAGATCAACTTTAACTATATGCAGAGTTGGCCAAAGAGCAAAGTTAGGCTGCAGTAAAATCAGCATCCAACCCTATACTTGTTTAGCCTTGACCACTAGATGGCAATGAGCTGCAGGGCATCTGTTTATGGGAGGAAGGAGTTTTGAAGGCCTTCTGATAGTTTTGAGTTTGACCCTTCTTTAGCTGAAAGATGCAAGCCAGTTCTTCTAACTTCCGCTGGTTTCACGAACTATTTTGTGGTAATAAAACGTCAGGAGAAATACTAGAAGGGTTGAATATGGAAGACAGGAATCTTTTTCAACTTCATGTTTTAGATAGAATACTGCACTGCAAAATAAAAGCACCTTCTGGAAATTTCACATATTCTCTTTCCTTCTCTTTCTATTAATAGGCCAAGAAGAACATTCCCCATAAATTCTATCTTTGCTCCAAATCTCAGCATTCAGTTTTGTTTCCATTAAATATTGTTTGTAGGGTATCACATTGATTTAAGATGTTATACTTTTCTAAGCATAGTAATTAGGTTGGTGACTATAAATCTCTGTCTATGCATGTTGCCTTTACAGCAATTGTGCAATTGTAGCTTTTAGCCTAATTTTAGTAGAGGCTAGATCATGCCTGGGTTTTGGAGGAGGGAGGCATGTTATAAATTTAAGAAATATTTTTAAGATAATGAAACAGAGTCCCTACTCGATGACCCATGAATGTAAGCTTCAGTTTTCTATTGCTCCTTCACATTTAGAAGCAGCATAATACCAATCACCAAACAGAAAATAGAACACTCACTCCGTATTTTCCTTTTAAGGGTTATTTTATCTCTGAGCAGACTCTTTACTCAGTTATTCTCATGAGCCAAAGTGGAATAAGTGGATATGGCAGAGGGTGACCCTACTGTAGCAACCTGCTTCCTACTGTGCCTTATGTGGAATGCTCAAATAATACCTTCTTAGTTGAGTGCCCTACAGCAACAGAGATTCAGAGAAATTGCGGAATGTCTTGGGAAGGAGGAGGGGGGAACATGCAGCCATTAAGACTATTTAATTATTAATAGTCTTTTTTGTTGTTGTTCCTTTGTCTGGTATGTGGTACTTTATAGACGGATCTTTTGAAAACAAATTCTATAGTTTTATTATATCAGGAAGCCCTTCCTTTTATGCATGTTGAATCTCCCATCAAGCAGAAAGGACATTATTTATTTATTTGATTTGATTTATTTAAAGAACAGATGTGGCTGCTCACTTCACACGGTAACCCTAGGCCGCTCAGAGCAACCAATAAAAACAACATAAAAAGGCATCATTTTCTCTACCCATTTTTCACAACATTATGCACATTATTCATACTTTGCTCCAACAGCGTCTCTGGCTGTTATTTTTTAATGATTGACCAGTACAGTAGTACTGCAGCAGTTTGAAAACAGTTGGGAAAAGTTGCTTTGGAACACAAGGGAAAATGAACAAAACATATTTCTAAAACTCTTTAGTGCAGTCATCTCCACCCCCCAGTGTTGGTTTGTTTTCTTCACCGAGGTATCTTTTGTTCCCAAATCCAAAATATCAAAGAAGCCAACAAAATAGACCCTGAATTTCTTCAAGGTGGAGTTGTTCCAAGTACACTAAATTGGTATGCCGGAATCATGTCTAAAATCGTAAATTGCCAACACATTCTAACTTCCCTTTTGGAGATTGTTAAACCTTAGCCAGGGGAGAACTGTTTTGAGTCCCAAAGATTGTTTTGTTCAGTTTTCTCCATTGAATTATTGTACAACATTTGGATTGGTTTCATCTGAATTGTACAAATCTTTTTTAGGTATCAACTCAAAGGGCTGAACTGGTAGAGGTTCTTTCTCTCTTTGTAGGGGAAAAAGGTGATTTTTCTATATAAATAAGCTGCAATTGAGAGGTGATGTGCATATTATTATATTGTAAGACACCACAGTACTTCTGCTGGGTGATAAAATATGAGCTCCCTTTAGGGCATCACTATTGAAAAAATATATAGATCTCTACTGACTCAATATTCACTCCATGTCTTCAGAGTCTCCAATCTTCTGGTGTTACAGAACATCCCTTTCCTTTGAAGTAACTCTTCCTGCCAATCATTTACAATCCCTTAACATTTAGATTGGGGGAAAAAATATAAGAAAAAGATGACTGGGTCAGATCAAAGACTTCTCAAGTCTACTATCCTGTTTACCATAGAAACCTCTAAGAAGACCACAAGGAAGACATCAGAGCACTTCATCCATCCCAGATCGGACTAACCTTTTTTGGGCTGGTGGGCAGTTTGACAGCATGCAGGGGATGGGCACACAAAATGGCTGCCATAAAATGGCTTCAGTGATGGAGATGGCCAAACCTAAACTACCTCTTACTCATACACTGACTTAGCAGCCAGAATTTTGGGAGGCCGAAAAGTATTGGTGGAAATAAATATAATGCCAGCGTTTTGTTTTGTCTATTGCAGGGGTCTGCAACCTTGACAACTTTAAGACTTGCAGACTTCAGTTCCCAGAATTCTGGGAACTGAAGTCCACATGTCTTAAAGTTGTCAAGGTTGCAGACCTCTGGTCTAGTGTATGTACCGGTATGTATGTACCTATGTATATTTGAATGTTTTGTTATTTGGTGCATGGATCTATTGGGCATCAAGGGAGGTGCCTAGAAGCACCAGGACTACTAGGAAATCATGCTGTTTTTCTGTCCTCCATTCTGTTTATGGTCAACTCTCAAGCTGTGACCCTGAAAGGAATACTTGCCCTACTAATGCATAGCCCAGACTTTAATGAAACAGGATAGAAACAGTATTGACACTCTTGAACTAGGTATTGAAAATGATTCTTGAAAACACCGTGAACAGCTAAGGAAATCAACAATTGGATCATTGAGTAAATTAGTTCAGAGTTCTCATTTAAGGCACAAATGACCAGGCTCAAATTATCCTACTTTGGACACTTTATGCAGAAACCCAGTTCTTGGAAAAAGGCTAGGAATACAGGTGGAAGGGGAAAGGATGACTAGCAGTAATGTGGACGGATTTAGTTATAGAGGGGATAGATACACTGGTGGAAGACCTGAAGCAGCAGGTTAGGACAGATCATCATAAAGAACATCTGCCTGTGTTGTTGCTAAGAGTCAATGCCAACTTTATGGTGCATAATCAATCAACATGCATATGTTACTCCGGGGTGTTTAGCAGTGGTGGGATTGAAATATGTGAACAACTGGTTCTCTGCATGGATGACACTTCCAGAAGTCCATTCTGGGCCTGGGCAACAAAAAAATTAGTTATCGGTTCTGCCGAACTGGTGCAAAATGGCTAAATCCCATCATTGGTGTTCAGATCAGTCCAATGAAGAAAGAACATGCTTCGTGGTAAAAAAAAAGTGCTAGGGTAAGATCAGGAAGTATGTAATTAGGGGTGAGAAAATAGAATAAATCCAGGTGCCAATCATATTGCAACATTCTATTTGAGGTCTCAGTGTCTTCTTGCAAAATCTGATATAAGGGACATTTAAAAAAAAGACACCCAAACCCAAGGCAAAATTTTCTCTCTTTCTCTCTTGTCAGATTATTACACAAATGCAGCAACCTAGGTCATGCTGCAAGAATGAGTAATAAGAATACATACAGTTTCCTTTAGATATATATTATGCTTATGTCATTAGAGTCTTTCTGTTCTAGCAACGGTGCACCTTACTCTGTTTTGAGAGGCTTCAAGCTTGACATTCAAACAAATGCTTTTTGAACAGTGTTTTGTCTTACTTCCAGCTCATGAAATCATAGAGCTACACACATGTCAGAGGCATCCCAGAGGAGAACAATGATATTGCTATGAAGGGACTGAACATCACTACCCATTTCCTGTACACAAGAACAAAAAGAAAGTTTTCCATATTATAATTACTTTGGCATAGCATGCTAAGTCATAATTGGTCTAAATATTGAATTAACCAACATAGACTAGTTCTTGCAGTACATCAAACCACAAACCATCCTTTCCAAGCCATAATGGCAAAGGTTACAGAGCAGATAAGATACCAGGCCAAAGCCAGACAAATTATATTTTGGCTGCAACAATCCATATGACACTAAAATGGCATCAAAAAAACATAAAACTTTCCTTGCTCTCATTTAGTGGTTTTCTAGATTTTGTAGATGAGACATGATAGCTCTAGTTTTGTTCGATGGGCCAGTAAGACACTTAGGACATTTCCAAGTTGACCAGAGCTACCAATAAAAAGAGATGGACTAAACAACCTGTGTCTCCCTCCTTAGTAGAACAAGAGGTAGGGAAACATAGGAGAGTTGGTGTCTGGATCTCTACCTTACAATTCTATAAATAGGGAAACCCAATGACACACTTGCTCTGCCTCTCTCCCAGATGCACAAACCAGATTTGAAAGCATCCTACACTTTCTTTACTGATAGCCTTCACTTTAGCCATAAGGTGCTTAACTATAGAGTTCTTTGATCTTTCCCTTCTTCTGATTAGAACATAGGAAAATCTGGGAAGATAACAGCCCAAACATAGTAAAAGATCTTATACAAGGTAGGGCAATTTTGCATGCACTGATATACATATTTTGAATGGCTGACAATTCCTGCCATACATGTCTGGCATTTTATAATGTATCTATTCCAGGGCTTCAATGTAAAACACCTATACCCTCCTTTCAGAATTTTTTAAGAGACAGTCAAACTTTCTTCAAGAGAAGCAGCCCTGGCATCTCATTTCATCCATGAGAGAATCCCATTGCTCCCCCAGAAATCTGTAAGCAGTCTCAGGTCTTTAAGCTAACAATTTCCTCAAGGACAAAACTGGCCTCTTGGCTCCTGGAAGACAGGTTCTCAAAAGGCAGCAACAGCATCCTAACAAGGTGTTGTGGCTGGAACATTCTGCTCACAGGGCTTACATAGTATTTTGAAATTGAATCTTGCTTTGATGGCACCTCACTGTATGACAAAACAAAATCAAATGAGGGGAATCAAATCCAGGGCTCAGTGCTAATCGTAATTACCCACAGGAGTAGGACAGGATAGATATATGTGTCTTTATAAAGGTGGTATATTTCTCACTGAATCAGAGAGGGAAATGACCGTTGATGTGCCTTTGCAGTTGCTGAAGACCCTGAGATCCTCTGATCTGTTTCTTCAATGCGGAGTCCTCAAGGCTGAAAATGTGGGAAATGGTCTCTCTCAGTTCTCAGTTTATTGTTGCCAACCTTAGCCATTTCTGTAGGAGAGGCCAAGCATCTAGCTGTCTCCCTTCAGCAGCCCAGGTCCTTAGGATCACATGTTATGATGTTAACTGCTGTCAGATGAATCATTTCCAGAGCCAGTCAAGCCATTTGACCAAGGTTTGGCAAAAACTGTCAAGCCTGAAGCAAAGAAATGAGAAGAATAATCAGCTCAGGATCCAAGAAACAAAAGGCCGTGCTGCAGAAGGAAGAGATTAGGAAATGAGTGGAGAAATCTGGTGACCTACCGTATTTTCTGGTGTATAAGACGACTTTCTAAACCATGCAAATCTTCTCCGAAGTCAGGGATCGTCTTATACGCCGAGTCATCTCATACGCCGGAAAATACGGTAATTATCTAGCCAAGTAATCTTTTGGAATGAATGGGAGAAAAATATTGATATGAGAGATGAGAGCTAAGGCAAGCTTCCTGAACAGCCTGTCCCACTTAACTAGAGTTGTGAGAATTCTAGCCCCCACACATCTGGAAGGGGACAGAAGGGCAAAGCTGCTTTAAAGGACATTTCACCCAGCTGTGGCTAAACCATATGCAGAGGACTGCAACATGAAGGACCTATGCTTACACGAGGATGACAACAAGAGATTTTGTCTGTTTCTAATATACAGAAAAAAAATGATCCAATTTGGAGCTTCCATGGTATGTTCTGCAAAAATCTGGACAACTAGATAGAAACAAAGAGAGCGTTCTCTATATATATATGCTTGGGTGGTACTTTACTTCAAAATGTCTTTTAATGAACAATTCACTAATTGACTAATTAAAGGCTGTGCACCTGTTTTTAAGACATCCATTCTTCACCTGCAAAGGAAGGTTCATCTCTTTGTTGTTCCACGTGTTGCTGTGGTTTGTGGATATTCTCATACCAGTCTGCATCTCCTGAAGATGTGCTGTCACTGTCTTCAGCTGTGGGATCTGTTGGAGCAAACAATGAGTTTCTGAATGGAATCACAGAGCTACTATTTTTGCCCTTCTGAAACACCCATGCAGTGTCCTATGAAAGCTATCTCACTGGCTGCTGAAGAACCCTATGATTTTGACCAAAGTTCCTCCAGCTGATTAATAGGAGGTTGCAAAAATTGTGATCCAATTAGCATTCTTCACTCTAGCCTATTTATTCGCTAGCAAGGAAAACAATGACCGTTGTGTGGGAGAAGCTACAAAACTGCTCCTCAGATACATTTGAGAGAGAAGAATAAGAGCAGCGAAGAGGCACAGTCGCTTGATTTCAGGAGGGTGGAGAAAATTTCAGGATCTATGAGGCAAGAAAAAATAGGAGTTCCCATAAGTAAACTCCAGCTCTGAGAAAATGATGCAATACTATACTTTATTTGGAGCAGTGCGCCAAAAGTTCATTGTCATTGTAGAGGCTTACCCAAAAATAATGGTCATGTGGGAATACAGGAATGTGATCTCACTCCTGAATCAGCATAGCCCAGGGGTCTTCAAACTTGGCCCTTTTATGACTTGTGGACCTCAACTCTCAGAATTCCTCAGCCAGCATGCCTGGCTGAGGAATTCTGGGAGTTGAAGTCCACAAGTCATAAAAGGGCCAAGTTTAAAGACCCCTGGCCATAGCCCATAAGTGTGTGTGGAGGGGGGGAACACCCAATTGGCTAAGATCATTCATTCATAGTTAAAATGAAAAAAAAAAAATAATCCCCCCCAAATAAACCTGAAACCCAAAATAATGAAGTCAGAGGCTTTAACCATCTTTGGAAGCTTGTTTTAAAAATATTTATCCCTAAAATCATTAAGTATTGTATGTGAGATCTGATTTTATTTGGAAATGATTTGCTAGGCAACAGGTAGGAGATGGGAAAACCTGTGTCAGCATTCCCAACCTTACGTAGATTGCAGTTTCAGGTAATATAGTTAAAATTTGGGAAATTAGGTGAACTCCAGTCTCTTAATATGTCTGAATGGCAAAGACTGAGCTACATGGATAATAGTATAAGATGGTCTCCAAAATGTTACATAAGAATCTGAACCAATCTGATTAATTGGGTGAGCTGCTCAGGGCAGTTTTACAAAGCTATTGTTTTCACTTCTCAAACTCTTATTAGATAGTAATCCATGAGGGCTTTTTCCCACTTCTGCCATTTTAAAATGATGAATACAAGGGATAGAATTGCAAAAATATTCTCCTACCAAGCACTTCATATAACAGAGGAGGAAAAAGAGTAAAAACAAAATCCAGGAACTTGGCACTAGCTGAGCTGGTCTGGGGCAGAAAAACAACCAATGGACCCTCATCCTTCCCAGAGGGTATAAAATATGGAAAGCTATCTGGATATAGTTATAGTCAAGAAGAACTGGATATGGTGCAAAAAGATAAAACATCAGCTCTCACCCTGTTGTCGATAATCCTTGGGATGCTTGGTCTCTTGGCGCATTGTCAGCTTGGGGAAATTGTGGGGTGGTGAAACTTGGTCACCAGTTGCTTGATAGTGAAGAGAAGCTGAAAACATTAAAGTCCATTAAACTTTTAGAAATAGACCTTTGGGGGGAAAGAATTGGGTTGTCACACCCTTGCTTATTTCCTTAAAAGTTTTAGAGCTGGGAGATAATATCACTTTCAGGAAATGAACTATTACCCAACTCTTGTGATTGTACAGTTAGAACCTTGTTTAACATGAGGCTGTTGTGGATATTTAAATATATCAGATCTCTGATAACACTTGTCAATCCGCAGCATTTGCAAGGTATCGCTGGTCCATCGGAATTTACCTTTTCTGGTGAGATATAATGGACTTTGTCTGCTAAGAGATATGTTGTGATGGACTACAATGAAGTGACAGTTTCCCAGAAAGGAGGGAGCACATTCCAAAAAGGGGAACAAGACAAGAGACAACACAGTCTAGAGCAGGGCTTTTCAACCTTTTCATCCATTGTACCACTTTTAGGATATGGCAACATCCGAGTACCACCAGTCGCCTAGCAAGGTGTCAAAAACTTGATGACCCCCCCCCCCAAAAGGAAAAAACTAATGAAGTACAGGTAGTCCTCGATTTACAACATTCACTTAGTGACTGTTCGAAGTTACAATGGCACTGAAAAAAGTGCCCCCCAAGCCACAGCCGAACAAGACACCTGCCTGCCCACCTGGCGACGCTCTTCCTCTTGTCCGAGGTTTTCAATGTGAACATTTCTGTTGAGGATTGGCAGCGGGGGTGGGGTAGGGGGGTGTTTGGTTTTTATTCCCCCCCATCTGCTGGGTGGTTGCAGCAGGTTTTGGTTACTTCACATGACCCTCAGACATTGTGACCATCATAAATATGAATCAGTTGCCAAGCATTTGAATGTAAATCACAAGACCCTGGAGATGCTGCAACATTCCAGCTGATCGGTGCTTCTTCTGGGCTCAGCAGAAGTGCCAGGATCAGTGCTGAACTCCAGCTGGAGCCTGGCGCTGATCCTGATGCTTCCACTGAGCCCTGACAGCTCTGCAGCTCCAGCCATCTCTCGCTGAAGGCTTGTGTGGTGCTGCCACCGGTTCAGCTCATTCCCCTCCCCTGCTATCACTTTTCTAGGATGGTCACGTACCACCTGCCAGGTGTCAATGTACCACAGGTGGTACCCATACCACTGGTTGAAAAGCCTTGGTCTAGAGTGGGGTTGGAGAGAAAGGAAGAGATTTAGGATAGTCCCTTTATAGAATCTCTTAGGGTACATCCATTAGTGTTAGAATAGGATAGATTTAGTCTGTCAAGATTCTGTCTATTTGATGTGAACAGACTGGAATTAGACTGGACCTAGGTCCAGATTCTAGGTCACTTTGTGCTGGGCCTGACATCAGCAGATGAACAAAGAGATCTGCTGGCCATTAAGGAGTGTCTTCTCATGCTCCTTCAGTTTATCTATCTATAAATAAAAATAGAAAAACTAAGTGTTTGTGATGTTCATCCTGCTGGCTAGCCATCAAATCCCCTATTCCACTAAGAGATTTGGTCACTCTATATGGTTGAAGGCAGGGCATGCTGGGAAAAACCTAGGAAAACACTGCCACTTCTGTAGCAACTCTCACTACTTATAAGACAGAATGCTCATAATTGGCACTGGGAACAGTGGGCCAAATCAGAATGGAGATGTCTGACATTGTTGTACTGTATTTAGGTATAAATTCTGCATCATTATTCACTGATGTCTGAAATGTGTCTTAAAGACAGTAGTATAATTGCCAGGAAATAAGGCCATTTTACATGTTTTGCTCTGACTGTGTGCATCCAAGATTGAGGTTAAAGTAAAGAGTCTGGGAAGAAGCAATTATCTTAGGAAAGAAGGCATTTTTTTTTCTTCTGAACCCAGGAAGAACACCTTCAGGTTTGAAAGAAAGATACTTTTCTGCAGCTAGGTATAATTTGAATAGAATTCCTTTCTTGGTTTGTTTTCATCATGGGAACTACAATGAAGATTGAGTCTAAGTTTTGAAGAAAAGGGATCTCACAAATTGCCTCGATCTTTGGAGCAACACAACATTCAGCTGCAGGTGCGTATAAGTGGGGCAAAAGATAATGAGGGATTGCTCACTGTAGAAATTAGAGAGAGGCACAGGGGGCTTCTTGCTGAAATCATAGTCTTCATAATCAGAATCAGAGTCTTCATGGGCTGGTGAAGGGGTCACCTCTGTTTATGGAAGAGAAAATAGAAACAATTGTCTGAGGAAACCAGCAGAGTTTGGAAAAGGCAACATCTAATATACTCTGCTATGGTGTAGGACTGGCTCTTCAAAAGACTGCAGTCACAATTTCAAAACAAATCTTGATTATACAGGTAGCCCTCAACCTATGACCATAATTGACCCCAAAATTTCTGTTGCTAAGCAAAATATTTGTTAAGTGAACTTTGCCCCATTTTACGAACTTTCTTGGTAGAGTTGTTCAGCGAATCCCTGCAGTTGTTAAGTTAGTCACATGGCTGTTAAGTGAATCTGGCTTCCCCCATAGACTTTGCTTGTCAGAAGGTCTCACAGGATGATCACATGACCCTGGGACACTGCGACCGTCATAAATATGAACCTGTTGCCAAGTGTCTGAATTTTGATCACCTGACCATAGGGTTGCGGCAATGGTCATAAGTGTGAAAAAACAGTCATAAGTCACTTTTTTCAGTGCTGTGGTAACTTGGATTGGCCACTAAATCAACTACTGTAAGTTGAGGACTGCCTGTAATTACCAAACATTATCAACGAAAATTACAAGGCTCTCAAAAAACTAAATCATTTGAAGGAATTTATCAACATTGTGAAACACCGATTTCAAGAGAACTCTGAAAAGCTGGTTGGATTATCAAGGAATTTCTTTTTAGTGTTAAGCACTTTTATGATTTTTATGTTGGCTGGATGGGACTTTATATAAGTTTATTGTTATTGTTTTATCAGATGCTGTTTAAATTCACATCAAGGGGTGTCATTTATCACCTTTTGTTTACTACTGTATCATGCACTGTCATAGGCTGTGTCAGGACAATGCAAATATACATTTGATATTAGCTAAATATCCAAAGGTATCATCTCTCCTATTTGTTTTTAATTCTTAGCATTTTTCTTGAAGATGCCGGGTGCACTTTTTCAAATCAACCAAGTGTTGGTTCATTGATTGTGACAGGAATTGACCAACCTGCTTGTCATCTGAGCATGAAGTTAGATCTGCTAATATATTGAAACAAAGAGACTTGTGGCATATTAACATTAAGCACAACTGAACCCAGTGAAACTCAGTGGATACCAAAGCACAATTTTTCTTGAACTCCTCTGGTTCATTTTTTTTGTCCACCAGTAATTTCAGCAGGTTATTTTGGCCATTACCTATGTATGTACTAGTGTCTGTAATCATAACAAAAATATCTTCAAATACATTCTACATTATGTGTATGTGTGCGCGCACGAACACCTATGCATGTGTGCCTCTGAGATAGTGTTGGCTCCTGGTGAATGCCTGGGCAAATCCCTGCAGTTTTCTTGGCAAACTTTCAAAAGAGGGTTGCTTTTGCCTGCTTCCTAGGGCTGAAAGAGAGAGATAATGGTCAGCCAGTTGGCTTTGTTCCTAGGGCAGGACTAAAATTCACAGTCTCCCAGTTTCTAGGCTGGTGCCTTAACAATTACATTAAATTGGATCTGTATGATACATCTCTGCAGTATTCATTTACCAGTTTAGCCATGTTTTTATAGATGGTTGTGAGCCTCCTAGAATCACTGTATGAGATAGGTGGACATATAAGTCCTGTAAATAAGCAAATGGAATTATTTAATTAATATTTATATAATTCAGGTTGAGTAAGAAAAGTTCACAGAACCTGCTTATATGAATTTATTTGCTGCTGGGTAAATATTTTTTGACATGACATTGAATTTATATTTGTCTCAGCTGTTTTGGTTGTATTAATGAATTTATTCCTAAAACGTTTCCTATATTTTAAAAAAACATCTTTGGATACAGCATTGAAGATAGATGATTAAAAAGGTGCATCTTCAAGATGAAATATGCACCTTTCTGTATACTTCCTATTTTCACCAATGCCTCTTTCTCTGGGCTTTCGGATCAGAATGAACAGAGTTCTCATTCAAATGGGTTTTAATATATTTTAGTTTTAACTGCTATTTTATTGCCTTAGTTTTTAATGGTACTCGTTGTTTTCTTTTATATTCATTGTTTCTTTGTTTTTGTATTTGCTCTCCAGAATCACGTTGCCTAAGCTGGGCAACCATATCAATGCTTAAAATAAACAAATACTGATTTTAATAATGTTTTAATCTGTGTAGTTTTAACATTTTAATTATTTTTACTTGCTTTATAACTCACAAGCCGCTCAGAGTTACCTTGTAAAGGGAGACGGAGAGCATACAAATTTAATAAATAAAATAAAAATGGATCTGCTGCAATTCCCCCCCCCAAACATGCATAAAGCTAAGTGCTCTAATACAGTGGTTCTCAACCTGTGGGTCAGGACCCCATTTGGGGTCCAACAACCATTTCACGGGGGTCACCAAACAACGCAGTCCACCATTTTTTCCACCTTTTCCTTAGCTGTGCTACTCCCTTTTATTCTATTGGCTTTTGAAAGCCAATAGAATAGACTCTCTTGAATAGAGACTAATTCTATTGGCTTTCAAAAGCCAATAGGAATTGTCCAGGCTGTCTCTGCCGTGCTAAGCCCGCCAAAAGTCCCATTCTAAGCGAAGGCGAGCTGTCTGGAAGTTTCCACCCCTCCCTGCTGAGCAACTACTAAAAAAGGAGGTAAAAGAGGGCCAGGGGTGGGAGGTGGGAAGCCAGCGGGCTCAGGGAGGGTTGCTGGCATGCATGGGGCCCGGCGGGCACCTTACCTCCCTTGGGCTGGGCCAGGTGGTGGCCCAGCTGGTGGTCAGCCTGCGCCGTCTCTGCCGCTTGCCAGCTACGCCTTGTCTGACGCAGGGGGCGGCACCGCGTATGCGCGGCACTCCTGGGCAGGGAAAGTCAACTTACGACCGGTTGGGTAGTCCTCGACTTACTACCGGTTGGGGTCACGGCATTAAAAAGGTTGAGAACCATTGTTCTAATAGAAAGGAATGTTAAACCTTCTTTGAATTTAACACACGCACTTCCAGTATTTGCAGATGATGATGGCCGAGAGTTGGGGACAGAGCTGATAACAGTGGAGATTTTCGTCCTAGACAAATACGAACTTTAAAAGACAGATTTTCCCTAAGAACCCCAAGAGTTCTTTGTTGGCTTGTTTGCCTGCTGGTGTCCTACAGTCCCCTATGGACACCCAGGTCTGATGAATTCTAGCCTAATTGATCAGAGCTGGCAAAAAAAAAAAAAAATTGTCCAGGAGCAAACAGAAGGAAAAAAGAGAGGAGAAGAAAGATAGTAAAGATAAGAAGAGAACCCAGGCAGGCAGGCAGGCAAGAGCTTTTGATACCTTCTATTTTGTGGAGGCTCCGGGAGACATTCCCTTCAGTGGTTGACTTCTGCATGGTGTGATTCATCAGGACGGGGACAGATACTGGAGCAGAGGAAATAACACAATCTGCAAATTGAAAGGTCACTATGTAGGGTTACTGGGAAAGGGCCCGCTGCCTCTTCTTTCACCCACAGGTTTTCTTGCTATCAGAGGACACATCCATAGTAAGATCACATTCATTTTATGCATCTGTCCCAGATCTATGTCTCCCACTCCCACTATGCTTGCTACTTCACTAGGCTGCCTATTTCAGTTGAAAAGCATGTGACAAGATGCCAGACATTAGTTGGCTGAAGGTGATTACAGCTGAACAGCACTTTGATTTTTGATTTCCAGTTGGAGTTTTGGAGCAGAAATGGAGCACCTGATGGTGTGAAACATGCTAAAGAAGCCGCACTCCTTCCTGGAATATTAGAGCTATCTCACCTGGCTGGTTTAAGCTGGTCTGCATGGGTGCATTTACACTCCCTCAAACTCTAAAGCATCTTTTGGCAATTAAATTCAAAGTGTTGCACAACCATAAGCAGTACTGCATTAAAAAAATACCTCTTTTATCTCAATCTTCCAATACAAATAAATCTGACCATGCAGTTATCATAAACAGGATAATGTAAAAGATCCTGAGAAATAGTGGCTGCATTAAATATATCTGTGGAAAGGCTCTCAGCCTTCTGGCTAATCAGTCCATATTCCATCTGCATGTTCTTTCAGCAGATTGAAATTTCCATTGTAGCCTAATGGAGGTTTTCGAAAATGGCACGCCTACAAAAAGCCCTGAACTAATGCTGCTGTTTGCTCACTGTATGAAATCTTAGCAGGGATCTTTCACAATTACTTTGTTTCTGCAAAAAGACAATTGGTCTCATGTTTCAAATCACAGTTTACCCCAACACGATGCCCTCTAAATAAGATGCATTAAAAATCCCACCCCACCATAGTTCTTGCAACATTTTAATATGTTGCTCTCTCCTTGCTTTTTAAGCATAATATTTTAATTGCTTTATTTTTATATTACTGTTCTATAGTTTTTTTATTGTAAGCCATTCAGAATTATATTTTGTAAGGTATGCAGCTATATAAATATGATGAATGAATGAATTAATTAATTAATACAAACACAAAATATTTCTTCTAAGCTATTTCTCCCCCAGCACTAGTGATCCCCAGTATATGAAATATACCATTTTTCTTCTGTCTGTTCAGCAGAAGGATAATAATAATAATCAAAATGCTCAGAAAAAGGAGAAAACCCAGAACGATGCAGGTGATCCGCAGGTTCCAATGGGTTGATGTTGTTTTCATGACTTCAGGAGTTGTAAAAGCTGCAAATGGAAATGTTGATAGAAATGAGAAAATGGAGGAAGAAAACTGCTTTCTGAAGCAGTGTGTATATGTGTGTAGAGTGGAGGTGGTTGGCTCTTGTTTAATATGAGCAAATGTATATACAGCTTAACACTTTGTCCAAATCTGTCTTCCAAAAATAAGTTTTTATTTTTCTACTTCAGTCCCAGGTGCTTTAAAAGGTATTTAAAAGGTCTTTGGGTGATGTTTTGGAGCTTGCAGTTTATTCAAGGATGCTGAGGTGATTTGCGTCTTTCATTCTGTATTATAGCTATCCTGATCTGAATATACTCAGTGGGAGTTCTCTCGTGTTTTCCTTCATCATTTAGCTGGAGCATGAGAAGACAAAGGCTGCCAGCTGTCAGAATTGAGACTGAGGAAGTGAAATTGAACTACACTCTTAGCCATGGAAATTTTCTGGGTGTGGGTAACTGAACCATTCACTGCCTTTAGCAAAACCAACTGCGTAGGGGGATTTCACTGCAGAGAAAAATGAAGGGAGATTTTTTATGTAATCAGCCTTGAGCTGTTTGAGAAAAGGCAGGATAAATTTTTCTGTTTGTTTATTTGTATCCCATCTTAATTATTTTTACAGTGAAGGTGGGGCTTGAACACATGGTCTCCTGTTTTTTAGCCTGCTGCCTTAACCACTAGACCAAACTGGATCTCTTTTACTTTATTTTCTATTTAATGTAATAAAATTATTACTCCCTTTCATCTCATATCTAAAGTTAGTATAAGACTCTCACTCTTCACCCATGAGAATTTCTCCAAATATTTCCTTTATTTAAATCGAAAATCTGACAACAATTTCTTTACCATCAGATTAAATGAGAATCCAGGGAACAGAAAATCCAGAAGGAATCTCTAGTACAGTGTCAGAAAAAGATGCCCATAAAAAGTTGTGGTACTACTTTTATTATAATAATATACCCAACCAAGCACACAAACCTGGACTGTAAGTACCAATATTACATTGGGGACATAGACTAAGAATGGAGCTGGGTAAGGGATGCTTTCAGAGAAATCTAATAAAAAAGTAGGAATAGATTTTATCTGAAAATAAATTATACGGGAAAACCAAAGCATTATTAAAGAACATTGATTTTATCAGAACGTTCTGAAAGAGCCTATGAATAAGACCAGACAATTTCAGAATTGAGCAATAGAAGTATTTCCACCTGCAGCTCCCACAGAAAACCATGATGAGACCAACATGATAGGCACATAATAAAATCAATGTACACATGTACTCATGACACATCTGCATTCTGATATCTGATATATTAAACTGTGGCATTTATATGAAATTGTTCCCATGCATGGGCCATCAAATGCTTTGCCTGCAAACTATGCTAAAAAACACTTTCAACAGCTGGAAACAGACAAGCCAAACCACAGCATCTGAAGACACACAAGTTGTTTATTCCACTCATTTATCAGTTTATCTTGGTTTAGAAAAGTGTCTATTACAATTGAAATGCTACTTGGAAGGATAATACAAGATCAAAAGGTCAAGTTCTCCTAGATTGTTGGGCAATATAAACAAATGTAAGTTCATTTTTGGTTCCTCAAAAATTGTTCCTTTTTATTTTATCTTAATTATGCTTGTTTGTACATGGATTAATGAAACTATCTGGTAGAAAAATGACAATAAAAAGAACATAGGTTGAATAATTTCTCCTTATTGACTTATCTGACCTTTAGCCAGATATTCAGCTGCTGTCTTCAGATCAATATATGAACTTTATGGGTTCATATACAATCAGATATATGATTGTAAGCCACCCAGAGTTACTCTGGGTAAGATGAGTAGCCAATACATTTTACAGATAACAAACAAATTTTCGCTTTCCCCAGCTTTGAAGCTCCAGACTGGGCTCTTCTCTTTTTCTCTCTCCTTTTTTTCATGTTTATTCTTTGGGAGGACCACCTTTTTCAGTTGTGCCTTCTCTTTCTAGGACCTTTATAACTAAAGCTGCTCAGTTAGTGGCATCCAGGGTTCTTTCTAACTCTCTGATTTTCTGTCTTCAGAGGAGGTCAGCTCAGAGGTGAGGTTTTACTTTCTTCCAAAATGCATCATAAAAAATAACTTCTAGGGAACTTTTTCACTCAGAAGTTCTGAGACTATGGGTAGAGCCACGGGTCACAATTAGATCAGCCCAGGTAGAGTGGGAGGTCAACATTTGCTATGGGCTTTGATCCAGCTTTTGCCTGTGAAGACCCAATCAATAGTGGATATATGTGGTATCACATATTTAGAAACTGTAATTGAATTTTAATTAGTAAAACTAAAGTGGTATATTTATTTCTTATTTAACCTTAAGAGCAATTAAATGAATATATTGATTCATGAAGTTATACAAATGCATTTATGATTCTGGAGATCATTCTAATGCAAATTTTAGGAAGTACTAATTCAGTCTATTGGCAAATGTCAGTCAGATTGGAATTTTGCTTCTGACTGTTTGTACCACTAAGATGAGTTGGGACTAAACCAAAAGATATAGTTGATAAAGAAAAAAAAAAAAACACCACTCAAAGTGAATTGCATATAGTGAGCTCTTAATAAGTGGGCAACCTACAACAGGTTTGTTTAAGTAATTGCACTGTGTGCAACTGAAGTACTTTAAAGAGATTTCACTTACAGAGACTGGGTAGATGGGAGACTGAAGTCACAGTTTCTCTTTCTGTTGTATCTGTAACCGTTCGGAAGTCTAGTGAGTCTGAAATTATAAAAGGTTATGAAAAATAAAAAGAGAAAACAATTAACAGTGGGTCAGTTTCAGCTTTTTACTGAAATTTTTACAAAGAGCATAAAAACTAATGCAAACTAATAACAAGTAAAGGGAGACAAGAGAAAAAAGACAAAAGATAAAATGCAGAAACAATATAAAGAAATAGAAAATTTTTCTGATTTCCTTTGCAACAAATATAAGTTCTAAGTTATCTCTTCCTGATTGCAAAAGAAAGTTCACTCTTTTGTATTATTCAGGTTTATTTTCTAATCACTGAACCCCAAATCATAAGTGCAATTTTTTCATTTTATTCAAAAAGTCTATAAAAATGTATAGTCAACCATAAACGTAGGCACTGTTTATTTTCTTTAATCAAAGAACTTAATTTGGCAGTCTCCACAAGTTTCATCATCTTTACCAACCAGTTCAAATTTAGACAAATAGGGATATACTGAGTCTTAGTTTGCCCAGACTGTATATTCTAAGACAGGGGTGTCAAATCAATTTCATTGAGGGCCGCATCAGCACTGCAGTTGCCCTCGGGGGGTGTGCGGCCAGGGTGGGTGCAGCCTACTGGATGGGTGTGGATGGAGTGGGTGTGGCCTACTGGGTGGGTGTGGCCAGCTCTATATCGTTCGCATCAAAGGGGCCAGTGGGGGCCTGGGCAGGACAGATTTGAGGGTCTCTGGCAGAAGGGGATGGGACCAGGGCAAGTGCCAAGGCATGGTCCACTGGAGGAGCCTCACTGTTCCTCTCAGGCCATGAGGGGGGGGGAGCTTATGGAGCTAAGACTGAATGCGTTTCAGCATAAATGGCCACCACAAAATTGTACATTGGCTCCCGGCTGGTCTGGGCCAGGGCCAAGGCAGAGGGGGCCGTTCCCTCACTGTTTCCAGGATGGCTTCGCGGGCCACATGAAACCACTTCGCGGGCCGCATCCGACCCCCGGGCCTTCTGTTTGACATGTCTGTTCTAAGATAATTGTGCACATTAAGAAGAAACAGCATTCTCCCAGGGAAAGCACATATCTTAGGGACTCAGGATTATAGAGTGTATATGGGTTTTGCATCATGAACATTGTTGTATGGATCAATAGATCAGAATCAATAAAGGAATGAAGCACACCAGAGATTTGGAGCAAAACAATCTTTCCAATCAAAGCCATCTGAAACCTCCTACAGACCACAATAGCTAATATGATAGCCGGTTTCTCACTTTCCAAGCAAGCTACTTTGGCTAATCTGTCACACAGTTAGGACATTTGCAGATGGTGATGGTAAGACAGTTGCCAAAATGGCATCTCAAGTGCCCTACAGTAAGAACGTACCCCCCCAATCCTTTTTACTATACCCTCCCCCAAATCACAAGATTAAAAATCCTTGTACTCATCAAATCAATTTGTCAGCTGTCCCAGAACTACATGCTGTTGTTGGTTCTGCTCATCATTAAACCTTCTTTCCTAAGCAGCCAGCCTCCATTTTATTTCCAGCATCTTAGCCTCCATTTTATTTCCAACGTCTTACTTCCAGTTTAGAACTGGACCTAATTTTACTTTCAACAGCCCTTTCCAGAAAAATCAAACAGCTTCATTGTATGAAGTATATGCCGTAGCAAAAAAATCATAATTACCATCATACAGCACTGATAAGCAAGCAGCCAGAAGAGATGGCATTGATGCCTCTGCCTTTTAACTTAATATTTGCCATTCACCCTTGTTCTATCTACTACCCTTATTCTGTTCTATCTTCCTTTCCTTTCCTTTCCTTTCCTTTCCTTTCCTTTCCTTCCTTTCCTTTCCTTTCCTTTCCTGGTTTAAGGACATATTCATGCATATCCAGTGTTTCCCTACACCTTTAATTCTGCTGACTTCAAGTGGGGAAACAAAGAGCAAGAATGCTCACGGGTACTCACAGGTCCTGCAGTGGCAAAAATTAATAATAATAAAAAAAACCACCCCACTTCATATAGGTAAAGGAAATTATTTACCTGTACTCCTCCAGCCTTATTACTTCATATTTCATTTGTCTGACTATCTGCCAAAAAATCATGGCAGCTCTTCTGAGGGCTTAAGTACTTTCAAGCCACCTTTCCCCTTGAAAGATCTGCTAATATGGCTGCAGCCTAAGTGCCAAGTAATGGGGTGAGGAAGGATCTCTGTAAACAAGGAAAGGTTAGTCCATAAGCTCTACAGAGCTGCAATGTGCCAAAAGGCAAACCAGATTCCTGGCTGGACTTCTCCCTTTCAAAGATATTCAAATTTCAAATACACAGCGCTAATGCTAACACCCAGCATTAATCAGCTCAGCTACTGAGCTGAGGGACACAAATGATGCCACAGGGACACAAAGCCAATACACAGAACAATGCATGTATTGTGTGAAAAGTTACCTTAAGTGCAGGATGGGCAATATTACTGTTAGCAAGAGACACAGTTAATTGAACAGTCATTATCCTCAAATGCTCAATACATGGCTCAGCTTGTATCACTCAACAAATATCAGCACCAATGCAAGTAGAATGCCAATGATCTGTCTTAGGCTTTGTGTTATATTTGGACTTGAAATAAAGCAACCTGGGGACATTTATCAAATTTGCAGATGACACAGAACTAAGTGACTAACAGTACAAAATGCAGAATCAAAGACAGAATTCAAAACAATTCTGACAGATGGAACCCTGGGCCCAAAGCTATCCAAATGAAATTCAAGAGAGAAATGTGAAATCCTACAACCTGAATAGTAAAACATCCCAATTATAAGGCCAGCTAGGATATAATAAATGTAAAAATAATTTAATTTTCCTAGTGGCTCACAAGTTGAACACGATCCTTTTCAGTCAGCATTGAAACCTGAGCATGGAAAGTTGGGAACTGAACCCACATTGTCACTCTTGTAGGTTACTGATGATGAGGTTTCAAATGGGGGAGAGTGACCCTCTGCAGCCTTTAATACCATTGACCATAGTATATGTGCTCAGTTATAGTTGAGGGGGGGGGAAGGATTAGATAAGCTGTAGAGCTCTTCTGTAGAGACCTGGAGAGATGAAGCAAATGTTCAGAAAGCATTACATAAACAAAAAAAGACAGAAGCATTCTTTATGTCCTGGGAGGGGAGAGAATATTTAGAAGATGCTTACTATTCCCTGGGAAAATACACAATCAGACTCTCAAGATTTTGTTATTATAGCCTATCTTAATAAAGCATAGTTCTAGTCTTCCTGTGGTGTCACTTTCATGTCCTGGTTTACCTTGTAGGGCTAGTAGTGAGATGCCACAGACTCTCTCCTATCATGTAACATAAAACCACTGGGAACATTGTTCAACTATTTAGAATAAGGTATTGCAGAGATGATCTTGGAAATGATCTATAGAGATGATCTTGGAGAAACTAAGCTGAGATGATGGTTACAACAACATGTTGCCTGAGAAACAGAGAAAGTGTGAGAACAAAACTGAGACCGACTACTCACTAATTCACTAGTATAAAAGGGAGGGAGAGGAAAACTCAGTCAGGGTTTCAAGATTCTGTTGCTATAACTTATCTCAATAAAATCTAATTCCAGTCATTCGTGGAGTCATTTTTCTGTCCTGACTTACCTCAGAAATATTAACAATATGCAGATGATACTCAGTATTACATTTGTACTTCAGAATGTGTGGGTGATGCAATAAAAGTCTTGACCTGGAGCTGTATTGGTCTCAATGGAGAGAAACAGGCTTAAAGTCAATGTTAATAAGATAAGGCAGTTACGATTTCAGAAGCAATTTTATTTTGAGGAGAGGGGGTGCCATCTTTTGTTCTGGACAAAGATTTGTGGTGAAATATAACTGCTTAAAATGGTAATGTGGTGTTTGGCTGTGTTAAGAGAAACAGTGTACAAGATCTTAAGAAGTAATCCTTCACTTCTCTTCTATATTGGTCAGACTGCAGGCAGATTATCAAATCCAGTTTTAACACTACATTTTAAGAAGGATTTGAAGAATCTGGAAACCAAGTCTTACAAGTAATGGCCCAAAGACAAACATATTTTTAGTCTTGAGAAGAGTAGACTAGAAGAAGACATGATAGCCTAAGTATTTATTTATTTAGAAAATTTATATGGCCACTAAACTCGTTCTTGCTGACTCAGGGTGGCTTATAAAAATAAAACCCCAATTTGTTGTTGTTAATTGTGAAGTCGTGTCTGACCCATCGCGACCCCATGGACAACGTTCTTCCAGGTCTTCCTGTCCTCTACAATCTTCTGGAGTCCATTTAATTTCACGCCTACTGCTTCAGTGACTCCATCCAGCCACCTCATTCTCTGTCGTCCCCTTCTTCTATTGCCCTCAATCTTTCCCAGCATTAGGCCCTTCTCCAGTGAGTCCTTCCGTCTCATTAGGTGGCCAAAGTATTTGAGTTTCAACTTCAGGATCTGGCCTTCTAAAGAGCAGTTGGGGTTGATCTCTTCTAGGACTGACCGGTGTGAACGCCTTGCAGTACAAGGGACTCACAGGAGTCTTCTCCAGCACCATAGTTCAAAGGCCTCAATTCTTTGTTTCTCAGCCTTTCTTATGATTCAACTTTCACATCCATAAAACCCCAATACAAAAGCTAATTTAAAATTCAAGCAGAGAACAGAGCAGATGTGCCTCCTATTGCTTTAGAAAGCAAGATTAAAAGCATTACAAAGGAAACTGAAGATTTTGCCTAAGCATTAGTGGAAACTTTCAGATAATAGCAATACAATAGCACTTAGACTTATATACCGCTTCACAGTGCTTTACAGCCCTCTCTAAGCAGTTCACAGAGTCAGCATATTGCCCCCAACAATCTGGGTCTGCATTTTACCGACCACGGAAGGATGGAAGGCTGAGTCAACCCTGAGCTAGTGGGAATCGAATTGCTAAACTGCAGACATCCAGTAATCAGCAGAAGTAAATAATAAAATGTATCCAGCACTATTAAACATGAGGATTTTTCTTCATTGGACAATCCAATTCCCCAATGGATAAAACAAATTCACAAAACCATTTCATAATAACCCATATCAAATTTGGCACTAAATCTTCCTCTAATTTTTAATTAAAGTAGCTACAAAGCTAATTTAAATAATCTTCTGACTGCTACCATAGTTGGTGTTCATGAATGCACTCTGCTAGTCTTCCGCCTGCCTATCCTATTTAGTGGCAGTTTGTCCTTTGATTCTATGTTATAGATGACTCATGTTTTTTATTCTTAGCTACTGGGTCTTTTGGTTTACCTAATATGTTTTGGAGGGCTTTAGTTAGTTTGTGCTATGTAAGCTGCATGTCTATTGGTTGTTTCTAAGATGTTTTTGACATATGACAGTGTTAGAATAGAATAGAGCTGGAAGGGTCTTCTAGTCCAGCCTCCCGCTCAAGCAGGAGAACCTATACCATCTCAGACAAGTGACTGTCCATTCTCTTTTTAAACACCTCCAGTGATGGAGTGCCCACAACCTCCAAAGGCAGGTTGTTCCACTGGTTAATTGTCCTCACTGTCAGGAACTTTCTCCTTAATTCCATATTGCTTCTCTCTTTGATCAGTTTCCAACCATTAGCCTTTTTATAGCTTGCATTGACTGTGTACACTTGACTCCCCATCCACTAGTACAGTGGTTCTCAACCTGTGGGTCGGGACCCCATTTGGGGTCGAACGACCATTTCACGGGGATCACCAAACAACGCAGTCCGCCATTTTTTCCCCCTTTTCCTTAGCTGTGCTACTCCCTTTTATTCTATTGGCTTTTAAAAGCCAATAGGAATTGTCCAGGCTGTCTCTGCCCTGCTGAGCCCGCCAAAAGTCCCATTCTGCAAACGGTGCTGCAAGTTGTCTGCAGCGAAGGCGAGCTGTCTGGAAGTTTCCACCCCTCCCTGCTGAACAACTACTAAAAATGTAAGTAAAAGAGGGCCAGGGGTGGGAGGTGGAAGGCCAGCGGGTGCAGGGAGGGTTGCTGGCATGCGTGGAGCCTGGCGGGTGCCTTATCTCCCTTGGGCTGGGCCAGCTGGTGGCCCAGCGCGTGGTCGGCCTGCTCCGTCTCTGCCGCTTGCCAGCTACGCCTCGTCCGGCGCAGGGGGTGGCACCACGCATGCGCAGCGCTCCTGGGCAGGGAAAGTCCTCGACTTATGACCGGTTGGATAGTCCTTGACTTACGACCGGTTTAGTCCTTGACTTACAACCGGTTGTTTAGTCCTCGACTTACGACCGGTTGGGGTCGCGGCATTAAAAAGGTTGAGAACCACTGCACTAGTGCAAGTAATGAAACCAACTGCTCAGGGAGGAAAAGAACCCATGTAGAATAGTGCCCCCCACACGTCCCCTTGCAGACAGTCCAAAAGGATACTATGACCTATGGTATTGGATGTTGCTCAGGGGGTTATACTGTCATGCCACAGGTCACCAACATAAGCAATCCATGTCCCATATCCAGGCCTGAACCCCACTGAATATTAATTAAACATGAAACACAAACAACAGAAATTCACAAACCTAAACAAATCACACCAGCATCTTCCTTGTGTCCACAATCATGGCTCCTATTAGACAGACAGTCCCATAGATACTGTTCATCTCCCAGGCATTTCACTTCATCCAAATGGATGGGTCCTGTCCCCTTTGGGAAATGAGAGCCACTGAGAGCCCGAAAGGCTGAACCACAACCAAGTTGCTGACACACAACTTCAGCATCAACCAGGTCCCAATTGTCATCGCATACAGTGCCCCAGGTACCCATGACTTCCAACTCGACTCTGCCAGAACAGTTGCTTCCTCCATCCATCAGACGTAATTTTTGAATTTCTGCAAGATAAGAAGTTGAGATATTAAAGATAATCAGTGGTCATGCAATTGTAGACTCAAAAAAAAATAGGAAGATAATAAATATAGCTGGAGGAAATCTACAAGATTTGCTATTCTAAATTTATTCGTTTATTACGAGGTACTTGATTTGCAATGTAAGGTGCTTTTTAGATGAATGCCTCTTAGCAACGTCAGTCAAAAAACATAATGCAGCTATTCTGATTTCTTTTCTTTGACAGATTTTTGGAGACAGGGGAAGATGGAAGAACTGGGGGATAATTACAAATACATGTATGAAACACGATAATTGCATGATGAAAATCTTTACCTGAAACCATCTCAAACTGGTGTGAAACATGTAATACTTTGAAGATTTCTGAAAGAAATGGATGAATGCCTAAAAACAGAAAGCCTATTTAGAGTCTGTGGACTTTTTTCCACTGCTATTTGAAACTTTATCAATCCTTGAGGCAGTGGAGAACAACACATTTGCCTGTACAATTGTTGTTTCATGTCACTGCCAATCATTTGCCTTCCCACTAAGGCAATGGGCACAAAGCCTAACATATTTCATACATTCCTGATGGTGTAGGAATAAGGGAGACAAACACAATATTAATAACAATACAACTAAGGAGTGTTTAAATATGTCTCACTCATGGGCTGGGGACAAGACGGGGCTATTATCACAACAAGACCATGTTGCAAGGGTGTATTGGTGCTACAGTTAAGTACAAGTGGGAAAAGCTCTAAGTGACTATTGAAAGAAGATAGTAGATTATTTTTATTCCACTTCATATTATCTTATAACCATTCAATGCATAGTGAATGAACCATAAGAGACTCTCCTTTTCTAATTTCCTATTTGCAGGCAAGTGATAGTTCCATTTATGCAATGAAGTTCTACCGCCTACCTCAGTAGAAATAGCAGGGTACTACATTTATCCACTTAATAACAGGAGTTTAATATTCATTCATCAAGATCAGTGTCTACACCTAACAGCAGAAGGAAGTGGCGGTAAAGTGAATTGCACCATGTCAGATGATAAGCAGTTGACTTTTTGATTGCTCTATCATGCACCAAAAGTTCCTGCTAATTAAAAAAAAAACCTACCTATTAGAAAAAAATATTTAAAGTTGGCTCTATTGCAATGTTTCTCAAGTTTGGCAACTTTAAGATGTGTGGACTTTAAGTCCCAAAATTCCCCAGCCAGCATAAGTGACATATCTTAAAAAGTTGCCTAGGTTGAAAAACATGGCTCTATTTTTTTTTAACAATCAGAGAATGTAGAGAATGTGAAATGCTACAGCCGATTGTTTCTTCTTCAGGTATCATCATCCACTTCATTCTGTGCTTGTTGTGCCAGCCATCTTAAGTACAAAGAAACCAAAGGCTTTAACAGCACAAGGGAATCCATCTGAAATATGTTCTGATAGCGGCAGAATCCAATCATTGAGGAATCTCTCCAACCTGAGTTTTAGTTGAGAGACATTCTCATGATAATGTAGCATATAGGATGGCAGAATGTCTTAAGGATTTGAGAGTGTTTTGTCCCCTGCTCCAGTTAAGAGCAATAGGCAGAAGCATACTTCCTTTCCAAAGAAGTAGACAATTGTTTAAATGCTTAAAAAATGTTTTCCCTTACATTAGATGGCACTTGAGCACAAAGCAGTAAGTGACAATCATTTTTGCTTTCTACCAGAGCTTTTAATAGCTAAGCAGGTATGAAACTATTGTGGAGAAAAGGCATAAGTGGGAATTGTATATAATGATTCACTGTCCTTCTATCACACATACACACACTTCAGTGGGATTGACAAAACGAATGTTCCCAGGTGGATTAACTATTAGGGATTTCATAATACGGGTAGTCCTTGCCTTACAACAGTTCACTTAGTGACCGTTCTAAGTTACAACGGCATTGAAAAAGGTGACTTATGACTGTTTTTCACACTTATGACAATTGCCACATCCACATGATCAAAATTGAGACACTTGGCAATTGACTCATATGCATGACGGTTGCAATGGCTTGGGCTTATGTGATCACCTTTTGCAACCAAAGTCAATGGGAAAAACAGTATCAGCTAACAACTGTGTTGCTAAGTTAACAACTAAAATGATTAACTTAACAGTTGTGGCAAGAAAGGTCATAAAATGGGGGCAAAACTCACTTAACAAATGTCTCACTTAGCAACAGAAATTTTAGGCTCAATTGTGGTCATAAGTCAAGGACTAACTCTATCAAAAAATAGAATCTGCCAAGAACCACCCTAGTTTAGGCTGTGATAGAAATCCCCAGCACCACCCAATGGGTCTCCAAAAAGGTCACTAAAAAAGAAATAAAAATCATTCTCACCACCACCACCACCCCAGTCCTCTTATCAGTGAGGTTGGGTAAACACAAACTATCACCCACACGACTTCCTGCCTCTTTGATAAAAAATGTCACTGAGGTGAGTGTGCATGGAGTACAGGTAACCTCAAATACCACTGCTGAGGTAGACGCCTCTGCCTGGGAAGAATCCCAGTGGGGCACTTAGCTATTTTTGTCCAGCGGATCCCCAGGTACCCACTGAGCCCCACTCCACAACTGAAAATAGGGGTTGCATTCTTGGAAAATGCCAGCATAATTTCTCGTACAGCAGTTCTTTTTCAAACAGGAAAACAGATTATATTCCTTGACATCAGGAGCAGATGGGACAGACGTAGTGAAAATTGGTCAGCCCGTTTCCATCCGATCTCTATGCACATGGATTTTGGAAAGCAATGACGGCCAAGCAGATTTTTAAATCAATGCTACATCATCATATTTGGGATGCTATTGTTCTGAAGAGTCTATCTTCCATCAACGGTCAGAATAAAGCAGTCAGATGAAGGAAGATGCCTGGAGATCCGTATATCTCACTCTGTGCCACTGAAGAAGCTTACCCCTCTACTGATGACAGTGGCATGTGGAACATTAAAACTTGGAATGTAAGAGAAAAAGAAGCAGAGAAAATGCAAAGTGAATAAGAGGTTCTTTTGGAAGTGGAGAAGAATAAACAAGGGCCAGCAAGCAGAGAATTGAAAATGAAGGAGTCTTTTAAAGATTTGTATGTGAATTATAGACACAATAGTCAACATCATCAGCTTGCCTTAGCATGAGGATGGTCCACTGACCATTTCTCAAGAAAAGGACTGCATGATGTTGTCTCCTTTCTCCACTCCCAGCCCACTAGGAAGGCAACCTCTGCATACCATTTCCTCCCACATCCCTAAGTAGTGTCTTTAACTTGTGTCAGTCCAAGGATTTTTCATTTTAGCAAAAACAAACTTCTCCATTCCATTTGGCTGTTGAGTATAGTGACAGGAGCACTCCCTCCAATCGCCAATCACTGCCATCTATGGTCATATTATTTTTACAAGTTCACCAATGAGAAGCGGTGCTTTTTCTTTTATAAGGTCAGTAATGGAATGGTGAAAGAGAATTTTCCTCCTCCTCCTCCTCCTCCTCCTCCTCCTCCTCCTCCTCCTCTTCTTCTTCCTCTTCCTCCTCCATCACCACCACCACCACTACCACCACCACCACCATCACCACCATCACTACCACCACCAATCAGGGCTCATGGTAAATCTAGCATGTGCATCAAGCCATCATCTTGGCCAAAACAGAGAAAATTCAGAAAATTTTCTGAATTTCTTAAGCCTGCTTCATTTCCAGTCATCTTATGAGTAGAAGCTGAACAGCTTTAAGGCTTTAGTACAGAAAAGCCATAACCATAAATGAATGAAAAGGAGGTGATAAATGCTGTGGAGAAGTTGAAAAATGGCAAATATGCCAATATAGGATAGTGTAATTTGAAATGTATTGTAATTCATAAGTAATTTGCTTATCGAACTGCTGAGCAACTAGTAGTATTGTGCAAAAGGTTGCATCTATGCCTATCAGCCTGGAGAGTGAAGTTACAGATAGTCCTTGACCTATGGCTACAACTGAGCCCAAAATGTCTGTTGCTACTGTGAGACATTTGTTAGTGAGTTTTGCTCCATTTTATGACCTTTCTTGCCACAATTGTTAAGTGAATCACTGCAGTTGTTTAGTAACATGATTGTTAAGTAAATCTAGCTTCCCCATTGACTTTGCTCATCAGAAGTTCATAAAAGGTGATGATACGACCCAGGGACATTGCAACCATAATACCATATATACTATATGAGTCAGTTACCAATTCTGAATTCTGATCATGTGACCATGAAGACGCTGCAATGGTCATAAATGTGAAAAATGGTCATAAGTCACCTTCAGTGCTGTTGTAACTTTGAACGATCACTAAATCATCTGTTGTAAGTCGAGGACAACCTGTACTATTTCCTTGCACAAAGGGGAAAGTAGTAGCAAGAATGAATGTAGTAAAAACAGAAGAGAAAGAATCAAGAATATATGGGTAATGAATAAATAACAACTGAGTAAAAAAAGTGAGTGATCAATATGAAAGATACCTGTGTTTTTTTAAAGTCAACATCCAAAGCACTTCCTTGGGATTCCTCTTGTGAGGGAATAGCAAGGAGTATAAAGACATCACAGGACCAACAAAGTCACTTTTTGAGTGATTCTACAACAATTGAAGTCTTGCCCAAAGAAGCTGCTTGCCCAACAGGCTTTGTTATTTTGTAGCTGGGCAACCTCATTTTCCCCCCAATTATTAAAATCAAAAGGTTTATTCTGATATCCGATACTTGATTTTTCTTTGCCCTCCTTTCATTGCTTCAATTTGAATAAATTCATTCTTAGCTTCATTATATAGTAATATAGAAGGTTACTGAGGTACGGGGGAGGGATGAAATACGAATCTCTGAAATAAATAAAAAGCAACTGCTTAATACTAAAATACAAATTAAAGCTCATATTCGCTGCTCCAGTTCACTCCAACCTGGTGTGCTTTTCACTTTCAGCCACTTCTTTTCTCCACTTCCCAGGTGATTGGAGTGACTGGTGGAGAAGAATAATAGTGAAACCCTTTCTGCTCTTCCCACCCTATTTTTCTCCTCCTTCTCCTGCTCCTGGAAAGCTATCCAATGGGCAAAATTAATTGCTGATTTGAGGAGGGAAAAAAGATAAGAGGCAGATTGAGACCATTTCCTTATTGGTATTTTGCAGCTACTTCCATCCTTTACAGTGCTGAAATAATTGTAATAATGAAGGCTTTCAACCATTTCAGTTAGTTGGATGAAATTGTATAATAGTATAAATCACTAGTGAGGAACTGGTCCAAGAAGCAGAGCAGCAAAGATCATTCAAAAGAGTTCGTACATGTAGAGTTTTACAATGTGCAACTTAAATAAGGAGATTACTTGCTAGTTGATCCTGACATGTGCATCTCCAAAGAGTTGGTGAACCATGTTATCATATCCACGAAAACCTCTCCGCATAGTACACAGAGTACACAGTAACAATGGAGGAACATAGCGGGGATGTAGCAGTATGTGGTCCAAAACATCAAACTGGCCACAATGAATATACTAAACAGATGGAGCTTTGATCACATAGTCAGCACCACTATTTTCACTGTTTGGACTCTACCCTATAGACACCCTGATACCATGGATAGAAATAGGCTTGTGAGTCATTCCTTATTTCTACATGCTCTGCATCAGGGCTCCAGGCCTGCTAAGTAATATTTGTCCTCTCATCTTTAGAGAAAAACACACCATAGGTTTAAAAAGATTCTTCTTAAGTAAAGTTTTTCCCTCCCATGTTTTTACCTGGTTTTGCAGTTGTGGTGTTGTTGCTGGTATTTCTGAGAGCAGGAGGTTCGCTTGGCTTGGCTTTGACTGAAATTAAAAGAGAATTTAAAGTGAAATGTCACCAATATGTCACTATAGAAAACCACTTCCATCTTTAACCTAAAATGATAAAACAGCCACAAATAATCTAAACAAAAGCTCCTGTATCTAATTTAAAACTTGTTCAAATTTGAGAAAAAATATTTGGTACATTTTGAGTAATAAACTCTTTAAAAACCCAATCTCATGTTTGGAATATTTTTGAAGGCTTTTTCTATTAGCAGGTACTATTTCTTCAATACGGATCAAATTGGTCTTATATGCATCGAAGCTTTCAATTCCTCTAGCATTCAAGCTGAATAAAAAAAAATGGAGAGGCTAGCAATTACATTACTGAGAAAATGGTTTAATGGATGCACAAGAACTATTCATTCCAAATATAAATGCAGAGTCTCTAGACAGGGAGACGGGTGGCATATAAACATATTAAATATAAATATATTAATTAATTAAATCATAAATATTAAACATTTCATAGAGAGTGAGGTGAGTGGCATATTAATTTAATTAATAAATAATTAAAACTACAAAAAAACATAATAATGTATAAGATGTAGCAATTAAAGTTGTAAACATTTCTTGTCATTTTTTTCCCAAGAAATATTTTAACCTGTTCCAAGTTAAATTCCGGTTCATGTCACTAGAAGGCAAAATCACGAAACTGGGTCTCACTTACTTTGGGCCATGCCATGTGGGGGAATTCAGTGAAGAAAGCAAATTATATTTGGAAGAGTTAGCGGTAAAAGGAAACCAGGCCATCAAAGAACATGGTGGATGGACACCATCAAAGCTGACAGAGCATAGAAAAACCCAAAGAAGCAGTGCAAGATTGGAAGACGTGGAGAGACCTGGCCCTATAGGATCGCCAAGAGTCAAACACAACTGAATGGATATCATCATCATCATATCATAATCTACTTACATGAAATGTCAGTGCTCGCAGTAAAAATGAAACTGCAATAGAAATTTATTTTAAATATTTCCCATTTCTGATTTTTATTCCAGTTTACCTGCTGCTCAGAACCAGAGATTATTTTGAAAATGAAGTGCCAATCTATTATGAGAGAGTACTACAAAATTAAATACGGCATTTGATTAAGTAGTCAGTAATTCCTGCAACCTAACTTCAGAATAAATGTATTGATCATGAGCTCGTTTTTTTTTTCTGCAAACGGCTCAGAGGGTAACCTCTTTAAAAATGACCAAATCAACTGACTTTTTGTGTGACTCCATAGGCCCCAATAAGACCTATGAAATTATCTGAGCTGTGTCAAACAGAGCTTAATGAAAGAATTTTTTTTAGAGAATATTGGTTATTCTCTGCCATTTGATACCCCTGTTTTATTCAGCCCATTTTCAATGACACTCCGCAAAAAGAATACTGTATCTGTTTATGTCTATTAGAGGTAAATCATTCAAAGTTACCCTTTTTTGAGATGGGTGGATAGATAGATAGATAGATAGATAGATAGATAGATAGATAGATAGATAGATAACTTATTATCTCCAGGCAACATGGATAAATTAGCTAATGAAAGATGAATGGATCTTGCACAATACAAAAACTCTAGAAAATGCACCATCCAACTAGGAGCTTGGCAAAGCCATTATTTTCTATTGTTTCCTATCAGCAAAGAAAAGTAATTTCCTTTAGATAGACCTCTCTTTCAAAGGAGAAAAGAACTTTGGAGATGTTCTTAGGGGTGGACTATTCTTGCATTTCTACATTTGCATGTTGGCCATGGGTTTGATAAAAATATCAATATTTTTTGGTAAGGATAGTTATTTCCCCTAGTGATCTGCAGCCTCCCTGGCTTCCCACACTTTCATTAAACTCCAAGAGAAAGGCCCAGGAGGAAATCCATCCAAGGTAAAATATTTACCTTGAGTGTGATTACTATTAATGCTAAACGGGAATCTGCCCTTGAGGAGCAATTGGAAATTTTTTTCTTCTTCTCCTCATTTCAGGTAGATCATGGCAGATTTTAGCTTCTATTTTCCTATACCAACCTCCCTCCCTTACTATTCAGATGCTTTCGCTCTTGATTAACAACAAAGCAGGTCCCAGTGGGAGATCATTCTGAAATTTTTGCAGTGTTAGCATCTGAACTCAAACTAAGTATATGCATGATCTGAAATTAATTTAAATGACTGACATGACCTGAATGGCATTTCTACAGACTATGCAAATATGCATGCATTGTGGAAAGTGAAATTTGTGAAAATTAGTTCTGATGCTGTCAGAGAAAATGAGAGCAAATCTGACCATTGCAAAACCAGATAGAAATAGGTCAGGCCGTTCAAAAGAGAAGGCCAAGTTGTCTGCTGTTTAGGGCAGGGATAAAATGAAACTGAAGAAGGTTTCAACATCCTTTCTATAATTAAGTTGGACAGCTGAAATTCATAGAGTGGTGGCTTTCCAACTTTTTTTTAATAAGTATTATTTATACAAAGTTCTTTCAGATTTTTTTTGTCACCTTGCCCGCATGATTCCAGCCCAGTGTGATTGGGAGAGGACTAACAGCCAGTCAGTTTGGTATAGCGTTGAAGATGCTGGCCTAGAAATCAGAAGATTGTGAGTTCTAGTTCTGCCTTATGCATGAAAGCCAGCTGGGTGACTTTGGACCAGGCACTCTCTCCCAACCCAACCGTCAGGTACAAACAACCAGATCCACACGTATAGAGTATAAACTATCTGCTTTATTGCTCAATGCCTATTTCACTGCAATTTTTTCAGGCTGGCAGTTTGCCTCTGTGATAAAAAAAAGTAGATAAGGTTCAATAGCATTCAAGAGGGAGGCAGACCTTGCTCTCTTGCAAATAGCAATTCCAGACTGATCCCTGCTTGAACCCTCCTTCTGTCTGGGACAGGCTCTGTAGGAGATGGGCCTGAGGACAGGGTCAAATGCATCATCATCTGGAGTCCCTACGTCCCCTAAAGATACCCAAGTCCAATTCCCCTTGAAGTCCCTTGATTCTTATCTGCCGTCAATTTGCCTTGACCATTAGTAGATCAGATTCTTGTTTAGGCTGCATGGGAATAAACTCTATCCTGCCTCCTGGTTTCTTATGCCAGACAGTCTCTCTCTGACACCAACTCACCCCACAGGATTGTTGTTGTGGGAAGAATAGAAAGCAGGAACATTAAAAACGTCATTTTCATTTGTTTAAAGGTGTGATATAAGGATAATTTTGCTCTCAGAATTGGCAAAACATTTCATTTCATTTTAGTACTGCATAAATAATGATATAGAAGGAAAATTCTTTATCTGAAGCAAATTGCAATATCAGCCTGCTAACTACAGTTTGTTTGTAATCGTTCATTTCTTTTACATTTTTAAACCTAAAAATACCATGCATGTTGTATTTAATCTCACAATTATAAAAGCTTATATTAACAGTTATTTAAAAACTAATTAAGCATTTACTGATCTAAAGCAAATTACCACCTTAGTGGTAATTCTCTGTAATCTTTCCTCCAGACTAAAGAAACACTACACATTACATTTAATAAGTTTACAGTAACTTACTTTACAGTACATTAACAGTTACTTATAAGACAACTAATTAAATTGCTAAATGAAAAAGTCTTTGTGTCTATTTTTTTCATCTGGTTGGCTTCATCCTTTAAAACAGCATCCCCCAACCTTTCCGCCTTGGTGGACCCACGGAGGCGGTGGCAGCCGTGGGTCCACCAGCCGTGGGGGAGGGGAGAGAGGATGTTTCGTGCAGGTATGGTGCTTTCACAAATGCAGTTTCGCATGTATGCGCTCTCATCCATCACTTCTGTGGTCCAGTTCTGAAAGGACTACGGCCTGGCACCCAGCCATGGCCTGGGGGTTGGGGACCCCTGCTTTAAGAGGCAATTGAAAACTTGTGAAAAATCAAATAGCAAGGGACCCCATCAACTTAAGACACAGTCACTTAAACCTCATCATCTTCGCCTTGAAAGTAACACCATCCTACATTATTTTGACTGGAAAATCAAGTGAGTAACAAGTTCTCCTGGAGAAGAGAAAGCAAGTGACTTTTCTTTTTGATCAATACTTTCACATATTCTTGAAAATGGGCATCTTCTCCTCCAATATTCCTTTTAACTTAGATTGATGGAGATACATGTTTCTCTTTGAAAAAAAAACTTAAAACAGAATATTTTCTCTGGAGGTGGAGCAGGGCTCCAGTCAGTAGTAGTCTGGTAGCACCTTTCCCAATTAATAAACTTCATTAAAAGGCATAAGCTGCAGCTCACAAAAGCTTAGGCCTTTTAATAAAAATTGCTAGTGGAGAAAGCACCACCAGACTTTCCTGATTTTTGCCACCAGCAATGAACATGGTTCTCCCACAGCAGCTTTAAGTAATCTTAGGCTCCAGAGAGATGTGGCAAGTAATGCACACACTTAGCTTTCTGGGACCAGGTAATACTGCCGCCTTCTTTGGATTGATGCTCCCAGAAGGAAATCTGTGGCCCTTGAAATGTTGCTGAAACCATCACCAACAATCAGGAATGACTGGAGTCAGATTCTAAGGACAAGTGGAGGAGAACCTATTGGTCTGCGCCAGTGGTTCTCAACCTGTTTTTCAGCATGGAACTCCCCCCTTTAAATATTCTTTGTGGTCATGGACTATGATGACAGATCACCAAGACTTAACTCAAGATTTAAATCATAACATTGCTTCAAGCTTTTGTGGATCCCCCGTGATGACATTGCGCCCCCCCCCAAGGGTCCGTGGACCACAGATTGAGAACCACTGGTCTATGCAGTCAAGAAAAGCAGAAAAGAAATAGAATTAATCAGTGAAATATTTAAGATGCATATCACAGGGTTTAGCAATTATTTAGGAAACAGCACGAACAACATACTGTAAACTAATGCTTGCAAAAGAAAACATGAAAATTTTTTAAAGAAAATAGTAAAATGTTCTATCAGTGGCATAACTCAGATTTATTTATTTATTTATTTAGCCACCCAACTCACCATAGGTGGCTC